TATAAAGATGGTGTATTAAATGTGTCAAAAGAAGATCAATTAGTCAATAAAAGGTTGGCTCTTTGTGGTGAGGTGAAAAATATACATGTTAAACTAATATCTTCAAGAATATAAATAGAGCCGAAACCAGTTTGGCTCAGTGGATAGAGTGTTGGCCTGCAGACTGAAAGGTCCCAGGTTCAATTCCGGTCAAGGGCATGTACCTTGGTTGCGGGGACATCCCCAGTGGGGATTGTGCAGGAGGCAGCTGGTCGATGTTTCTCTCTCATCGATGTTTCTAACTCTCTATCTCTCTCCTTTCCTCTCTGTAAAAACTCAATAAAATATATTTTAAAAAAAAAAGAATATAAATAGACTTTGAAAGCATAAAGGTAATAGAAATTTATAAGGAAATTATAAATTCAAGTATACTAGAATTTATAAATTGACAAATTTTGCATCACAAAAAAAGGCAGACAAACTGGGTTGGATCATATAACCAATAGTGATCTTTTATATAACACTTATTCTTCAAAATCAATAGTAATAACATGAATATTGACAAATTCTAAAACAGTCAAAAGACATAAATTTCACTCAGGAAATAAACATGAATATTCTTACTTCATCAACAGTTAAAATATAATGGTCAGATATAACAGTTTTAACTGTATATGTGCCTAACAACAAAGGCCCAAAACACATGGAACAAAAATTGTCAGACAGTTCAACAATTATAATTGGAAATTTCAACACTCTTTCAGTAATCGATAGAATTAGAGACAATCGAAGACTCAAACATAGTCAAGATATTTGATCTAATCAATATGGAGATCAAATATGCAACAAAACAACAGGAAAATACACAGGTTCTTCAAGTGCACATGGAACTTCTCTAAGACAGACCATATATTAGATGAGTAAAACAAGGTTCAATAAATTGAAATGGGTTATAGTAATATATAAAGTATGTTGTTGGACCATAGTAGAAATAAATTAGAAATCAATAACAGGAAGAAATCTGGGAACCCCAAAATTTTTGCAAGTTAAAAATAACACTTCTAAAGATACATGGGTCAAAGCAAAAATCACAGGAAAATTTAAAATTATCTTGAAACAAAATACAAAAATGCATGAGGGTGCAGTTAAAGTAGTGCTTAGAGGAATATTCACGGCTCTGAAAGGTCTAACATCAATAATATAAGCTTCTAGCTTAAGAAGCTGGAAAAAGAAAGAGCTAACCAAACTCAAAGTAAGTAGAAAGAAGGAAATAATGAAGATCAGAGTAGAAATCCATGAAATAGGAAATAGGAAAACAGTATGAAAGAACTGATAGAACCAAAGGTTGGTTCCTTGGAAAGAATTTTTTAAAAAGATCTTTAACTAGACCAGCGGTTCTCAACCTGTGGGTCACGACCCCTTTGGTGGTCAAAGGACCCTTTCACAGGGGTCGCCTGAGACCATCCTGCGTATCAGATATTTACATTACAATTCATAACAGTAGCAACATTACAGTTATGAAGTAGCAACGAAAATAATTTTATGGTTGGGTCACAACATGAGGAACTGTATTTAAAGGGCCAGAAGGTTGAGAACCACTGAACTAGACCAAAGAAAAAAGAATATATATAGTTAACATAATATTCCTGGTGAAAAACTGAACGCTTTGCCTCTAAGATCAGGAACAAGGCAAGGATGTTTCTAATCCTCACCATTTCTACTCAACATTGTAATGAAGTTCCTTTCTTGTGAAGTAAGACAAGAAAGACATTAAAAGTATTCAGATTGGAAAGGAAGAAGTATAACTATTCATAGATTATGTAAACTTTAAGTAGAAAATACTAAGAAATCTACATAAAAGCTACCAGATCTGATAAGTGAGTTTAGCAAGGTCTCAGAATGCAGGAGGCAGCTGATCGATGTTTCTCTCTCATCGATGTTTCTAACTCTCTATCTCTCTCCCGTCCTCTCTGTAAAAAATCAATAAAATATATTTTTTTTAAAAAAAGAAAAAAAAAGAAATTCCACTCCTAGGAATCTACCCAAGAGAAGTGTTCACTCAAAGACTCGGACATATACGTTTAAAGTAGTAGTACTTATAGCCAAAAACTGGAAATAACCCAAATATCCACCAAACTGGTGAACCGATAAACAAAATCGTTTATCCATCTAATGGAAAGTTACTCAGCAGTAAAAAAAAAAAAAAAAAAAAGAAAGAAAGAAAAATGCATGAACTCTATAGATAGAACATGTATGAATCTCAGAATAATTAAGCCAAGTGAAAAAAGCTAGACAAGAAGAGTATATTCCATTTTTGTATGATTCTATTTATATAAAATTCTAAAAAATGCAAACATCTATACAGTTGACCCTTGACCAACACAGAGGTTAGGGCAGCCGTGGGCAAACTACGGCCCGCAGGCCGGATCCAGCCCGTTTGAAATGAATAAAACTATTGAAAAAAAAGACCGTACCTTTTTATGTAATGATGTTTACTTTGAATTTATATTAGTTCACACAAACACTCCATCCATGCTTTTGTTCCGGCCCTCCGGTCCAGTTTAAGAACCCACTGTGGCCCTCGAGTCAAAAGTTTGCCCACCCCTGGGTTAGGAGCACAACCCCCCCTCACAGTTGAAAATCCATATACAACTTTTGACTCCCCAAAATCAACTACAGTCATCCTTCATGGGAAATTGGTTCCAGGACATACACACACACAATCTGCAGGTGCTCAAGTCCCTTATGTAAAATGGCATAGAATATTGTGTACAGTTGGTCCTCCTCCACATCTGTGGTTTTAGAATCCGTGGACACAAAACCCAGGTATATGGAGGGCAACTATATATTTATTGAAAAAAATCTAGGTATAAGTGGGCCTGCCCAGTTCAAACCCATGTTCAAGGGTTAACAGTAATGACAAAAAAAAAAAAAATCAGTGATTACCTATGGTGTAGGGCTCAATGACTATGAAGGGGAATGAGGAAACTTAGGTAAGGAGGAATGGATATTTTCATGATCTTAGTTGTTGTGATGCTTTTAAAGTATATATTAAAGTCAGATTTTATTAACTGTATACTTTAAACATGACCAATTTTGTATGTCAGTTATACCTCAGTAAGTAAAAGAACTACTAAGACGTGCAACATGAATGAATCTCTCAAAAATAATATTCTATGTGAAAGATGCCAGGCACTAAAAATTATATATTATATAGTTCCATTTATATGAAATTTCTAGAAAAGGCAAAATTATAGAGCTAGAAAACAGATCAGTGGTTGGCTAGTTCTGGGAATGAGAGTGGAGAGTGAATACAGACAGGAACAAGGGAGAAGACAGGCAGATCAAGGGATGAAAGTGTTCTAAAATTGGATTGTGGTAATGGTTGAGCAGTTTTAAAAATTTACTAAAACATTTTGAATACGTAAATTGGTGAATTCTATAATATATAAATTTTACTTAAATAAAACTATTTTATTTTTTTTTTAAATATATTTCATTGATTTTTTACAGAGAGGAAGGGAGAGAGATAGAGAGTTAGAAACATCGATTAGCTGCCTCCTGCACATCTCCTGGGGATGTGCCCGCAACCCAGGTACATGCCCCCGACCGGAATCGAACCTGGGACCTCTCAGTCCGCAGGCCGACGCTCCATCCACTGAGCCAAACCGGTTTCGGCAAATAAAACTATTTTAAAAACACAAGAGCCAAAAATGTTTAGCTTACTGAATTGGCAGCAATTTTTTAAAAGATATTAATTCAATAACTATTTGCATTGATACTGTATAGTAAGCAGTGTTGGGTAATGATGAACACAGATAGGATTCCTGCCTTAGCAGGGAAAATAGACAGATGCAATTAAAGAGTCTTAACTATTCTCCCATAGAGGAAGCACACTGCAGACACCCTCACTCTCAGCTCACTGTGCAGTAAGACAAGCACTTTCACACATTGCAAATTGGCCCAAGCTCCCTGGAAAGTAATTTGACGATATGTAGCAATAGCCTGAATTTATATCTGTTGACTACCAATTCTAATTCTGGGTGTCTATTGTAAATAATCAGAAATTTGGATAGAAATTATTCATCCAAACAATTGGCATTGGTCACAGGTAATTAAAATTTAAAAATTCAAAGTTGCCGAAACCGGTTTGGCTCAGTGGATAGAGCGTCGGCCTGCGGACTGAGGGGTCCCAGGTTCAATTCCGGTCAAGGGCATGTACCTGGGCTGTGGGCACATCCCCAGTGGGAGATGTGCAGGAGGCGGCTGATCGATGTTTCTCTCCCATCGATGTTTCTAACTCTCTATCTCTCTCCCTTCCTCTCTGTAAAAAATCAATAAAATATATTTAAAAAAAAAATTCAAAGCAACACAAATATACAATAATAGAGTGGTTAAATAAGTCATGGTATCTAACTATCACTTTATGCAGATATTTAAATTTTGTGCTTGTACATAAACATAAATGGAGAAATCACATTTGCAAAATTGTTTGTGATATAACTTCCATAGTAAAAATGTGTTTACCTGTACACACAAGCTAAAAGGTTCCAAAATATTAATAGTGGTTAACTCTGAGCTGTGGATTGTATTTTGGCTTTTTGTACTGTTTTATAATTTATAAAGTTGATCTAATGAACTTGTATTACTTTTATAAACAGGAAAAAGAAGTTATTCCCCTTTATCTGTTTACATAGGTAATATGTATTCACTGCAGAGTTAGAAAATTGTGATAAAAACTTCACCTTTAGTCTACCACTCAGAGACAGCCTGTCTTATCATTTAGGAGTATATCTTTCTAGACATTTCTATGCAAATAGTAAGTAGTTTGTTTTACAGAAATGGAATTTATACTACATATTGTTTTGTAATCTGCTTTAAAGGAGGGATAGCCCTAACCGGTTTGGCTCAGTGGATAGAGCATTGGCCTATGGACTGAAAGGTCCCAGGTTCAATTCCAGTCAAGGGCATGTACCTTGATTGCGGGCACATACCTAGTAAGGAGTGTGCAGGAGGCGGCTGATCGATGTTTCTCTCTCATCGAACTCTCTATCCTTCTCCTTTCCTCTCTGTAAAAAATCAATAAAATATATTTTAATGAATAAATAAAGGAGGGATAAAATAGAGATAGCAGGCCTAAACACTTAAAAGTTTATTAGTCTAAAAAAGTGGTTCTCAACCTTCCTAATGCCCCGACCCTTTAATACAGTTCCTCATGTTGTGGTGACCCAACCATAAAATTATTTTCGTTGCTACTTCATAACTGTAATTTTGCTACTGTTATGAATCATACTGTAAATATCTGATATGCAGGATGTATTTTCATTGTTACAAATTGAACATAATTGAAGCATAGTGATTAATCACAAAAACAGTATGTAATTATATATGTGTTTTCCGATGGTCTTAGGCAACTCCTGTGAAAGGGTCGTTCGACCCCCAAAGAGGTCGCAACCCACAGGTTGAGAACCGGTGGTCTAAAAGGAAGAGAAACTGATGGCAGTTTAAGAGAATAAATAATTGGCACAAACTAACGTTTTTTCGAGCTGTGGTAGTGCTCAGAAAAAGTGCCAGTGTGTGGGAGGGGAGAGGGGAAGCAAAGGGATGCAGACAGAAGTACGGGTGAGGGGTCATGAGAGGAAATGTAGAGACCAGCTGCAGCGAAATTCAACCCGCATATATAAGAGGCTTCTGCTGGCCACCCCTCTTCTCATGTTGTGGGAGATAAGATAAGGCTTACACAGCGCATATGTAGGTGATGAGGTCCCGAGGGGAGAGGAGGAGTCTTACAATAGTCACAGCCTGTAGGATGAGCTCTAGGATGGCAACAGAGGAAAAGGACTGTTTACAGTTGTTAATAGCTATCTGACATGGTTCAAAAGCAATACCAGAACCAGAATCCCAAGGCTATACCACCTAGAGCTTCATCATAAAAGGAATTTACAAGGAAATCAGAGTGAGTCTGCAAACAGAAATTACCAGACTCAAATATTAGAAAGGGAATAAGAATGCCAGTCCCATGGAAAGAGCAGAGGCTTAGGAGCCAGACAGATCTGGTTCTACCTACCACTCACCAGCTGGGCAGGTTACCTGACTCCTGAGGCTCAGTTTCAGAAGACACCAGCAACTACCTTCCTAGGTGGTTGTGAGACTCTAAGATAATATACATAAACACCTGGCACATAGATACCTGATAAGTAGTATCTATTACTACTATTACTGCCCTTGCATGGGAAGAGATGCAATATAACATCATGGATAAGAGCACAGAATTTGGAGGTAGACACCCTCATAAATTCAAATCCTTGACATATCACTAACTAGCTTTGTGATCCCAAGCATCCAAGCCTCAACATCCCCTATATGACAATGAGGATACCACCTGCCATACTAAGCTATTTTAAGGATTAAATAAGACAATGTACAGGGTGAGGCAAAAGTAGGTTTTCTGGCCCTAACCGTTTTGGTTCAGTGGATAGAGCGTCAGCCTGCGGACTGAAGGGTCCCAGGTTCGATTCCGGTCAAGGGCATGTGCCTTGCTTATGGCACATCCCCAGTAGCGGGTGTGCAGGAGGCAGCTGATGGGTGTTTCTCTCTCGTTGATGTTTCTCTCTATTCCCTCTCCTTTCTTCTCTGTAAAAAATCAATAAAATATATTTTTTTTAAAAAAAGTAGGTTTTCTGTGTTTCACGTACAACTGTAAACCTGCTAGTGCCCCACCCTATTAATTATAATATCTTTATATTATACCCTTAGGCATAGTGCCTATTTAACCAACAAATAATTACAAGTACCACTTCTATGATCTTGGCCACACTGCATAACCCCGCTGAACTAGAATTTAATCAGCTGTGGCATTAGCATTCCACTACCTACCTTGTTCCCCTCATTCCCAGAGCACAGAACATGGCACATAGTTGGCACAATAAATATCTGTTGCATGACCTGGACTGGACTGAGAATTAGAGATAATGTATAAAATATAAGTGTCTGGCATACAAATGTTGGGGCGGGGGGGGGGGGTGTAAAGGAGGGAACAGAGCTATTTGTCTTTCCATCAGAACACGGGCTCCTCCAGGGCAAAGAACCTTTGTTTTATTCATTTTGTGATCCCAGCCCCTGGCAGACGGTTAGAGATGTGGAAGAGCCTCAGCAGATGTTTACTGAGTGGCACTGGAGGCAGCAGTAATCCAGCAGCTGCCCTTCTACAAGGAAAACTGCAGGCGTTCTGATGACTTGACCTTCCAAAAACAACTTGAAATTCTCCATCTACTTTACCATCTAACAACAGTCATAGGGAGCCTTGTGCCAAGTGTCTGTACTTCCTAATTCAAGGCTGGTACTTAGGTCATGTCTCCAATAACTAACCTGTTAATAACTCCAGATTTCAGTGAGGTGAAAGAGTGCCAAAGGTTTCCATAGGTATGAGAATGCAGGCATTGTGATCATTATATCCAGCACCACAACACGATCACAGCATACAACAGAGTTTGTATAAATTCAGCTAAGCTAATGAATGGTCATAGGGGAAACCAGAAAGACAGGGTATCAGTTACATAAATTTTTTCAACTAGATGTATCACCTGTATGAAGACAACAGATTATGACACCAAATTTATCATTAACATTTTTAGGATTTCTACAATAAAAGTAATTAAAAATGATGTAAAACAGGCTAAAGGGTCCTCCAAGTTGCTATCTTAAGAAACTGAGATCTACAATATCAGAAACAAGCTTTTCTGCCAATTTGACTAATATGTACTTGATTACTTCAGATATTTAGTTGAGGTTTTTACATTACCTTAAAAATACTTTCTTACAAGATATTCTGGTATTTTACCAACAGTTTTACCTTTTATTAACCTAGATTAATGTAATTATTTTTATTCTGAGAGTCTTCATCTGATTAGTAGAGAAGTACAGGCTTGCTGCTGGAAAAAAATGGAAAATGTAGAAGTTAAAGTCATTCTTGGTTCAGTCATCTAGAGATAACCATTATTTACACTTCGGTATATTTCTTTTTGCCATTTAATGTTACATGTCTTTCCATCACAACATGGGCTCCTCCAGGGCAAAGAACCTTTGTTTTATTCATTTTGTGATTCCAGCACCTGGCAGATGGTTAGGGATGTGGAAGAGCTCCCAGATGTGTTTTCATAGACATGACTGTCAGTGCTTCAGGGTACTCTCAAGCAATAACTCACCCGTTTCTCTATTATTGGACATTTAGATAGTTTAGAACTGTTTTTTAATTTTTAATGGTGGGTTTTTTCCTTTATATTAAATGTAGACTATAGAGAATTACTCTTTGTAAGAATTCCACACTTACTTCCATTAGCACTGGAAAATAAGGCGCTATAGGCAAAGAAGGCCAGCCAAAAACCCACCGGAGCAATCTTCCAGAATGTAGCTAGTGAAAGTCAAGTCTGGAGCAGGGGTTGTGTGGAGCCTGACTGTCCTCAGTGAAGTGAGAGAATTCAGCAGAGGAGCAGGGATACTGGGGGCAGAGGAGGGAGGTGACAGCATTTTATGTGTATATTCGGGCCTGGGAAGAGAAAAAGAAGGAATAACAAATTAATATGGCAAAGTAGAATAGTTCTGAGTCATTTTTTCATAATGCTCAGTAAACAGTCTTTATGTGGACCTTAAATTATTAATACGATGTTTTCATTTTTTCTGCATTCAACAAATCAAAGCCCAATTTTAATTTCAATAGATATTCACTGGTACCCACTCTAGGCCAAGCAGTGGTTGATAACAGAAATGAATGAAACCCTATCACTTCTTTCCAGTTCATAATTAGATCATATTTAAACTTGTATTTGACTATCTACATCCCAAATAAAAAAAGGATGACCCTGAGGAACTGTAGAGATCCTCAGCCATCAAAAATGAAGTGATATCAACTTTCTGAGGCAGGAAAATGGCACACATTAGGAAACTTTAACAAGAGTTAAAATAAAAAATTCCCTAGTCATTGAATGGGTCAGCAGGGAAATTCATTAGCCAAATATCCAACTTGCCAAGTATTTCAGCTAATCCACCTTAAATCAGTGGCTGTTTTTAATTTAAAAGTATACAGGTAAAATTCATCTACTACTGTTTCTAAAGCATTATAGACTCCATACTAGAGATCTACTTAAAATTTTATTCTATGCTTATAGCTACTGTGTTAGATTTCCTCAGACAAGCCCTAAATCAACTATCCTATCTCTTTGCCCCTGTAAAGAATCAAATCCCAAAATTGGAATCAAACTACAACTCCCAGACAATAACCTGAAACTGCATACAAATCCTTTGTCAGACCACATAAGAGCCAGTCATTATTTCCACTCTTTCCAGCTGTTATAAGTTTGCCCAGAAAATTGCTCATCTGAAAGGGAAAACTTAGAGAAACAGGTTTCTAAATGCAGTCTTATTGCTAGAAAACACACATATAAACCATTGTTCTCCCTTATGTTAACAATACTATGTTTATACTAAAAGAATTTGTGCTGAATATGACAACTAGGATTTCCAGTGAACTATTTGTGAACCCTATGAATTCTGCTTTATTTTTTTTAACGCTTTACTAATTAAAAATGATTAAATTAACAGAATACTTCATAAAATTACCTTCATTGGAACTCAGAGGAATCCCAGTGACCTACCAATAAACCTGAAAGAGGTCATTTAGCAGGAAACTAACTCTCTCCCCCAAGAATTCCTGGGGAGCAGGATAAAGATTAAGGCTCTTCTAGTTCTGACTTTAGTGACTTCAAGATCACCTCCTCACCTTCACCATTTTATGATTCCAGGCTTCCCCAACAACTTGACATATCATTTCACAAGAGCATTAGGACATCACAATTCATTCAACAATTCATTTTAAGCCGCTAGTGCCAGGTATTACAGTATAGCCCAAGGATATTGATGAGTTACAAAATGGACACTTTATAGTCCAGTGGGGGAAGACAGCTATTTGATTATACAGTTATGAATGAAAAAAATAGGGTGAACCAACAATGGAGAGAGGCTTGCAAGGGTGCTGAGGGAAGAATTTCCTGAGGAGGTGATGAGAACGTTAAGAAAGAAACAGTTGTGCAAAAAGCAGGGAGCAAAAATGTCCTAGGCAGAGGGAAAAAATATGTGCAGTGGCTCTGAGACAGGACACAGTGTATTAAGAACACTTTAAAAGGCCAGTGTTGCTGGGTATAGTGAGCAACAGAAGGAAATGTGGTTGGAAAAATTAGGGAAACTATTGAGAGTTTAACAAGGACTAATGTAATCCCCTTACATATTTTGAAGCTTGCTCTGCTAGATTGGTAGAGGGGCAAGAATAGAATCAAGGAGTCTAATAAGGAAGCCATTACAGATATCTAAATAATGGTGGTAGCTCAGGTACTGGGAATCAGGAACTTTTAAATGACAGCTCAGATTTTAAAATGAGCACAAGTAAACCAAAGGGGGAAGGGCACTGCAGGACACTGAAAAACCTGCACAGTAGCATTAGGTCCCAGACCATAACCCATTCTGACACAGTAAATAGCCTAGTATGGCAGTAGCAAAGGGTTTATGATAAGAGTGAAAGCCGGAAGACTATTGCTAGAAAACTATTGTAGTAATCCAAGCATGAAAGTATAGTGCCCTAAACAAAAATCAGTGCTAACGGAGAAGAAAAGGCAGGACTATATCTGTGTGATACTCAAAGTGGTAGAAGAGATTGGCTGGATTTGAAGAAGGGAGGGGGCAGGAAGAGGAATTTGGGATGGCTAGGTTTCTGGCTTTGAGTGGGTAGGAGTGTGAGAAGGGTAAGTTCAGGTTTGTATAAGCTCTCACACCAGAAGAACCATGCATGGTGGTTTCCAGCTTAGGAAGAGGCCGAGGCTGGACATGCACATTTAGAAGCCACAGATGAACAAGCCATGACAAAGGCTGATTACCGGGAAAGTACTTAGGAGAAGAGCTTGTCCAGAACCCCGAGATGCACTGACACTAAAGGCTCAAGTGTTAAAGCAGAGTTTATCAACAGCAGCATGATGTTTTAAGCTGAATAATTCTGAGGCATCTAGCACATTGTAGGAAGTTTAGCAGCATCCCTGGACTCTACCCACTAGATGTCAGTAGGACCCACCCCATTGTGACAATCATATCTCCACACATTGCCAAATGTCCCCTGGGGTGGAGGGGAGGGAACCACTCCCAGTTGAGAACCACTGAGTTAGAGTAAGAGGAGTCTCCAGAACACTAAGGACACTGACAATAGGTTCTGAGTGAGCTCCCTCAATCCATGATTCCTCCCATATCTCTGTGCATGGTACTGCTCTTGGTGCCTTGAAAATGCAAAAGAAATGGTAACATTCCAGTATAACCAACCTTCAGGGCATTGGAATATCTTCATGTACTAGATTATATCAGATCCATTGCTGGAGCCCAGACCGTGTGGCTCAGTGTTTGAGTGCCGACCTATGAACCAGGAGGTCATGGTTTGATTCCCAGTCAGGTTGCAGGCTCGACCCCTAGTAGGGGGCATGCAGGAGGCAGCCAATCAATGATTCTCTCTCATCATTGATGTTTCTATCTCTCCCTCTTTCTTCCTTTCTGAAATCAATAGAAAATATTTAAAAATAATCCATTGCTAGAAATCACATTTCTGGTATGAGGCTATAGTGGGGAGAAGTATGTATTTTTATAAAACTTTTATTCACAAATGACATACACACAAAAATTGTGACCCTGCCCCCAATATAGGCTTGTGCCACCATCCTATCACTTCTCAATCATGAGAATAATACCTGACATTTTCCAAGAACTTATAATTTATAGGCTCTCTCACCTAATCTTCACTCAGCCCTTATGATAGATAGGAACTGCTGTTATTAACTGAGGAAACTGATGGAGGGGTTAATAAGCAACATACCCGAAGCCACATTAAGTGATCAAACTGAAATTAGAACCTCCAAAGTCCATGCTCTAAAGCTAAACCACTTAGCCACTATTCCAAATGGCCTCCATTCGACTGTAAGGAAGGCGCTGCTTCAGTCCTTTTCATACTTTGTATTTCTAGCACTTGGCTCATGCTTAGCAACAGGAGCTAAAATATTTACTGAATGAGTCTAAGGTCAGACTTAACTCTTTAACTTACTCCCAGATCTGCATTGAGGTGTTTAAGAAATTAAGAGCTCACAGACAGCAGCAGCCACAGTGTCTAACACTGCATTGCTAGAATTTTGAGAATTGCATTCCCAGAAATGGAGTCTCTACCATCAACCCTGCTTCACTTCCCATGTTTTTGTCCTCCTTATCCAGCATTGTGAGAGGTGGAAACAGAAATTATGTACTGGAGTATTTTTGCAAAATGACTAAGTTGTAATTTTTTAAAATAACTTGAATCAAAAACTGATACTCGGGGAGAAGTTTTCCAAAGATCAAATAGCCTTTTTTTCTTCTTTTTTTAAAGCCTCTTTTCAAAAAGGTTTTAGAAAGTTGAGCAGGTGCCACCTAAGGGGTATACCTGCTTCAGCATATTTTCCCTCACTAGTCAGCCTTGGTACTTTTTGTAAAAGGACTATTAAGTACAGAAATTTCTGCACAAATGTTGTAAAAATCCCATGCAGAGAGTAACAAAGCTAAGCCAGTTATGCCAAGTACTACAAGAGACTTTGCTCATTGATCATGTGTATTTTTCTGGGCTCAGGTGTAGCCTGAGAATATTTATCATTTTAATGCTTCAAGCTGCCATCACCCCCAAGAGATAAAATATTTGTCATTCCTGCCTAAACCCACCCTCAGGGGTAGCCTGGAGGATATGGAACAGGGGAGTGGGGTTATCAGTAAAAGGGGAGTTAGCAGAGGGAATATGTTGTGGAGTTCTACAAAGAATGGCTTCAGTCTATTCCATGTACACACTTGCACAACTAAATGTACTTCTTGCAAGCCATGCAGCTATAAGCAATGCGAGTTAAGAAAGTTCCCCACTTTGCATGGAAAGCATTCATGTAAAGCTCAGACTTTATGGACCTCACACCTTCCCTAACCTAGCTGGAGCATCATTCAGAACACTCATTCCTACCAGGCTCCTAAGGAAACCTTTTTATTTTTTTAATTTTTCTTTAATCCTCACACAAAGATATGTTATTGATTTTTTGAGAGGGAGAAAAACATCAGTTGGATCTCCAACTGAAGATTTTTTTAAAATATATTTTATTGATTTTTTACAGAGAGGGAGGGAGAGGGATAGAGAGTTAGAAACATCGATCAGAGAGAAACATCGACCAGCTGCCTCCTGCACACTCCCCACTGGGGATGTGCCCACAACCAAGGTACATGCCCTTGACCGGAATCGAACCTGGGACCCTTGAGTCCGCAGGCTGATGCTCTATCCACTGAGCCAAACCGGTTAGGGCTCCAACTGAAGACTGAACCCACAACCTAGGTATGTGCCCTGTGAATTGAACCTGCAACCGAGATATGGGATGATGCTCCAACTGAGCTACACGACCAGGGTGGAAAACCTTGATACAGCACATTTTCAACAAATTCTAACATGAACTTGGGCTTTGAAGAACGTATTTTCCTTCCCGAACAGCCTTCACCAGGGGGACTCAATTGTTTACAGCTGCCATTTAACAGCTTTTACAAGCTGGTGCTCAGTCTCTAGTTTACAATATTGACTTCTACCCACTTTCTTTTAAAAAATCAGTAAATCACTTCTGTTTCTTTCAGTTCTTTTGAAGATTATGAAACAGAGGAACCTGCCTCTCCCTCTGAAATTGGAAACAAAGGCAAAATAGCAACCTCAAGCCTTTCTGAGAAATGTGGAAAGCTTCAGTCAGTGGATGAAGAATAGTTGCCAATGTCTATAATGAAAAGGAGATATGTATTTTAAATGTTTTTTTTCTTGTGAAGAGATGCTTAGTTTGCAAACTGCTTTTTAAAGGCTTTGATTTCTGCAAGTGTGTATTGGCACTGGGAACTTTAAAAAATTTTTAAGCAATAGGTCTGGATATACACACTCAATTTGGAAGACTACTCCAGTTTGCCTCAAACCTCTTACAGAGATTTCCTTAGAAGCAATTACAATGATATACATCACCTTCCAAAGTCTGTGAACCAGCACTCTTCACCCTGAATGTACCAAGGATCTCTTGGGGACAGTGTCAAGCACAGTAATAAGGAGTTGCCTGTGTTGTCCAGCATCCCTGAGGCCCTTCAGGGTTCCTGTGGAGCCCAGAAGAAACTTTCACTTGCAGAAAACTTGAGTCAAAAAATTCTGGAACTTGAAAAAGCATTAAGGGCCTTCAGAACTGAATTAGCCCTGGTAATAAAAGCACTGCCGAAACATCTCAGAGACTTCTTTTAATTATGTGTGTACTGGAGTTCAAAGATCTTGAACTTACTT